AATTGATTACTCATTTAATTCCAAGAATGTCAAGAATTAAATCTCTCTGGACACAACTTTAGGGTCTGGGAACTTGTTCTGGACATTTTTGTCTGGCTGATGAGAATGTGTTTGATTTGTAGGTATTTGGACAAATTAACATTTTTACCTGATGTTGGCATTACATGAAAAGTCAGGGAATCACCTTATTGCAATTACTTATAAATGTTTGTACCAAATTTCATGGCAGTCCTTTCAATAGCTGTCAAGACATTTCAAAACCACAAAGGTCAACCTGCTGGTGGCGCTAAAGAACAAGTCAGAGGATAAATCCTCTGTGCACCATGAATGCCAGCACAAAATGTTCTGCCAACCCATCCAGTAGGTGTTGACACATTTCACTGGACCTCCTGGTGGAGCTAGAGTCAAAGTATCACCTGCGTTAGGATTTATTCTCTGGGGATCATGAATTTTTATACCGAATTTAGTTGTGAAGAAATTTCACTAAACATCAAAAATGTTACCTGCTGGTGGCGCTGGAGAAAAAAGGGGGATTAACAAAGTCATTACTGACCAGCCACATTGACATCCAGAGAAACAATCCATATATCAACTAATAAAATAAATAATCCTTGATTGCAGTCCCATTTTGACTACAGCCCCGCTACCTGGTACTTTTCATTTCAGTTATTCATCCATTTCAGTTTCACTTAATAAAACTGTAGATTTAACAGTTTGTATCTGACCAGATGAGATGTAAAAAAATGAAAACACTTGACTCATGGATAGCTCAGTTTCACCCCAAAAGGTTGAACAAGAGCAACTTGTACTTAGATATCTAATTAGAGTCATTCTGACAGTTGACTCAGGTCTCACAACTTCAAAGAACCATCCAGCGGCTTCATAAATCACTCTTAATGAAGGCAATATCTCATCACGTCAGCGTTCAGTAATAAAACCGTGGGCCAAACACATAACTACTTTGTTTTAATCTTTTCAAGGTGTGACCGGTTAGCTTGCCAGATGGATGTTGTGCCTCTGGTACTGAGTACTATTGTTTGACGGTGACAGACAAGGTTAATTAAACAGTCCCTCAATTGTTCAAATAGATGAAAGAATAACCTACTATATGTGAGGTATTCATACATCAAGTCAGTTAAATATTTGGTGCAAAAACATTGACAGCTCTGTGACGAAGGAGTCAGCCGCAATGACAATGTGTGAAATCAATACATACTGTAAACATACAATATCACACTCTATTATGAAAAAATAGGATATAAGCATAAATATTAATGGCAGTTTTGAAAATCAGAAGTTCAGGTTAAAGTTGAAATTTATGTCAAAAAGGTTAGTAAAATTGTTAGAAATGGGTTTATCGCCCACTATTATTCCTGGGTTTTACTTATTTTTTTATTTATTCTTATCATTATCCTCCACATGAAACATTAAGTTAAGCAGCATTTTCATAAAAAGACATTGTCCCAATGCGGCATGTCTCTTTACTGGAGGAAAAAACAGTGGCTCAACAAGTTTTTCTTGGTTAAATGCTGTTGAGAGATGAGCTCCGAATGCGCAGATCAAAGCGTCTTTGTCTTGGCAAGCGCTTGAGGACTTCACCCTGACAGTTTCACTCTGTGTCAGTCAAATTCAGCCGGGGCATATCATCAAGCAAATGCATGTCAGCTTAAAGGAGTCTTAGCAAAACAAAAACGTCATTCCAGTGTGGAACGTTCTAAAGATGGAAACGCTCAACAGGAAGTATCACACTGTCAGTGGTCAAATATACTACTATTTTGATGTGCAGATGTCCAAAATTGCAGTATGCAGTATAGCTACAGTTGAAATACTTAACTGATCAACTGAACCAGATTTTTTCTTTAAAATGAGAACTCCCAGGAATAGTCAGATTTCTGAACTTGTTAAAACTAAAAACTAAAGTCTCTTAATAATGGATAGAGCTTTCAGCTCTAGTTTTTGTCAAACCTACGAGTTTAGCCAGAGGCTTCACTGGTAAATTCCTCACACCTCATTAGAATCAGAATTGCTCGGTCAGACAACATTAGGCCTCCTCTGCCCTACGAGGCTTGACGTAAATAAATCAGTATTAAACTGACCTACAGCACAGTAGTATATTTCACAATATATAAAAGAGTCTGAAAAGAAAAACTAAGGGTATTCATTAACCTTTACTTTCAATATAGCTCAAATTAATTAGCTCAATGTAGTGGAATTGAGATTTTATATAGGTTTTTAGTAGAGTAGAGGCTGGTCTGCTACACAGGAAGTGGACTACAATAAATAACAACACTTGTGACAAGGTTATGCTTAGCTGTGCATTTAGTGGCCTAGGAATAAGAAGAGCCTGAAAAACAGCATGCACACTGACACACCATGGAAATGTCAATTTGTACAGAAGTCGATGTGCGCGCCTTTTCGAAATGTTTAGATGATTCCACCACATGATAACTGCTGCCATGAGGGATTACTAGGATCAACAAATGTCGTGACCTACACTATAATCCACCCTGTCAGACTATGTGTTTCTGGCCTCATGTGAACTGCCTGGGCAGTGTGTGCTCCAGCAGGGTGTGTCACCCTCACCAGGGTGGCATGACCCCAGATGACAGGGAAGCCAGCTGGATAACAGACCGACTACTGGCAGGCTCCAGGTGCCTCAGCCAGTGGCCACCAACTAGCAACCACGCAACATCAAACGTAAGCAGAAAAGTAGACAAAACGAAGGCACAGACAAAACAAAAACCAGACAAAATGAAAACAAAGACCACTGTTGCCCTTTCTCTGGCACACCACAGTGTTTTTCAGCCTTTCGTTGCCAGCCGCAGACTGAGGACACTAACACTGAGAGAGCATCAGCGTTCTCTCACTTGGCAGCCGAGGCTCTCAAACACAGCAGATTGAGAACAGGCACCGCCAGAAGGTGAGGCACCACGTGGCGATTGTGGTTTCACAATAGATGAGACAGAGGATTCGTGTCTGAAAGCTCCCTGGTATCCCTGCAGGGAGAAACCGTCTCCAGTGAACAGGCATGTTTTCATGACACTGGATGCCTGGCTCACAGCAAACCTCGTCTTTTTATCTTACATTACAGGGCTCTGTATAACTTTAAATGGCCAAACAGAAATAGGAACATTCATGTAAGACACTATTTGATACGGGTGAAGCTCGCAGGCATTAGAAATGGGCCACATGTAGCAGGGATGGGTTACACTGCACAGTACTGGATCCTAGACAAAAACAAGGCTGAACCAGCACATGGCAAACCCATCTGGAACATAAGCTGGCCTAATTTCACCGAAGATAAGGGACGAGCCCGGCCCAACAGAGACAGTATGGGCTGCTCTCCTCTGTCCTCCCAAACCACAAAGGTTTGGGATAACGGCCTAGAACTGAGCTAAATGGACAGTTGTCTGAAATAGGTCAGTCAAAAGACTAATGGGATACACACAACCTCCTATACATATAAACACGCAATAACACCATGGACATATACATGGATACACACATGCCATGCAGCCAACAGGCATTATTAGATGGGTTAATGGGTCCTGAGCCATTCAAACAGCAGGCTTTAGTCAAGCATGGTACTCTGACTGGATAATGATGGAATAGCTAGAGGGGTTGGGAGGTTTCTTGAGGCCTGGTGGTACCCACTGCAGTGAAAAGTAACAACAGCTCTCAGTCTCAGCTTTGCCCCTGCACTGCTAGATTACTACTGTCCACCTCAAGTTCGATTACATGCTGCAGTTAGTCTTTTAGGCGAGGCTTGCATCTGTTGCGGCAAGGATTTCAAAAATTGCTAGAACATTCGGAAACGCAAGGTTCAAACTGAGAGATAACAGATAAAAAAAGATGGATAAGTGTTTGGAGAAGAAATAGAATAGAAGATAGATAAAGAAGGAGAAGGAATGTTTAACCTCAGAGAAAAATAGCAAAAGAAAGTAGAGGTTGATTACATAAGAAAGGGGAATGTAATTCATAAGGTAAATTAAATATTTATTTTTGTTAAACAAAATATTTGAGTTCTGTTTGGTTAAATTTCAGCAACCGCCTTTATCCTTTTATTGTGTTCGGTCTCCAGATTCTTTGAGTCACTAAAAGTATGCAATAACACTTCTGACCTTACCTGCTCTTACAAAGGGAAGAACACATGGAAAATGGCATAACATTTAATATATAAGCATGCGTCATTTAAAAAAAAAAAAAAAAACACGCTTGCAGCAAATCGTTATATCTGTACTCTGCATGAATCCATGATCTTTGGCATCGGAAACAGTGTAGGTTGATTCACCTAAGTCTGTTTTCAACAGCAGTGATTAAAAAGATGGAGGGAATCAAAGTAATGGGATTAGAGACAGGCAGCCCTTTGTAAATGTGTGCCAAACCAGTAGAGAAGACACACAGGAGCACAATATCCCAATCCAAACAGTCCATCACACACATTCATCCAAGAATTACTGGATGGAGACACACTCACACCCACATGTGAACAAATATATTAGGTAACAGGTAGATCCACATAATCATTCCCAGAAAAAAAAAAAAAACGTGTCAAAACAAGTTACAAAGCCAAAGGGGAAATTTATGAACACACATACAAAGATGCACACACATATATATATATATATATATATATATATATATATATATATATATATATACACACACACACGCACGCACGCACACACACACACACACACACACACACACACACACACACACACACTAAGGCAGTGATTGACAGCTCGCATTAAAGTAAGGGCAGGCCCGGGCATGGCAGGAGGAGGGGTGACGGGAGGCAATTAGAGGCATTTTTTAGACGTTAATAGCTGTGTACAAGCCATACAGTCTATAAAAGCTATTCATAGCAGGCGAGCAGATGAGCATAGCAATGAAAATGGCTGGTCTATGTGCCCATGATATGGCCCTGAGGGTATGGAAGGGCAGAGTGGAGAGAGAGAGACTGAAAGAAAGATAAAGGAGTGGCAATAATCTCTTACTCTGGCATGTAGGGATGTCGCAGTATCTCCAATAGATCCCGTCTTCATGATCTGCAATGTAGCACCACGGCTGAACATCCCCATCAGGATTTCTGCAGACATAGAGGGGTTAATGAAGTTAGACCATGTCCACACTAAAAGTAAATGAACAGGAAGCCTGTTAATTGGCTTACTTTTGAAAGTACGCTAAGGTTTTTTTTTTTAACCCAAAAATGTAGCTTTTTTTTATAAACTCTGTCCAGAGTGGATAACACCAAGAACATCTGCATGGATGCACAACAGATGTGTCGGTCTCAGTTTGGAAGCAGAGGTGTGTTGGGGAGAGTGAGACAGTAGAAAAAGACAGGAAAAAGGGGTGATAGCTGGGATTTGAGGGTAAAACAACAAAACAATGATCAATTGAGAACCGTGCTCCAGAGGGGTGCATACTCAATGTTTCAGGGGGAGATTATCTTGGCTGTGTCAATCATCCCCAGTAGCACCCCTTGGCACTTAGTTGGTCTGGCCTCTCCCTCAGCTCTGAACGCTTGACCATGCATGTCAGTCAAGGGCCAGACCAATGGGGCTTTGATGATGGAGGTTGGTAGGAGGTCGGGGAGAAGGCTCTTTGTTCGGGGCCAGACACAGACCTGAAAAAAAGGATGGGTGATGGGGCAAAGCTTTTGTCTGAGTCTGCGGCCTCTTTTGAACCTCATCAAGGCGCTTTTAACCCATCATAATAACGCTGACAGGCCCTTCGGTGCTTTTGCTTTTCAGTTTCACTTACAAAAGCGATGAGACGTCGGATTGAAGATAGAAAATCACAAAAATCTTTGTCCAGGCTCCGTATCTCCAGGGTGATCATGCGACTTTGTAAATCATGAACCCTTATGGCAAGTTCTAAATTGCTGATGAATGAAGTAGCTAACATGCAGTTGAGGCTCATCTTGGTGCTGTTTCAGCTCTTTAAGCTCTATTTCAGGATCACCGTAAACTGTAAAAAATCACACCCGATCTACAATAAAAGCCTTCTAGGATGACATCGCTATTTTTTTTCAGACCTGACTGTAATTGCCGGAGACCTTTTCTCTTCTCTTTTGACACACCTCATTGTAGCTTCTTGAAAAAGCCTGCAGGCGCTGCACTATCCCATTTCGCCTTTTGTGAGCGAAGTTGTGAAGGGCGTTTCCATTTCTTTTCTTCTCCTATCAAAAACACTATCCAGAGTTTCCTCCTCTCTTTTCACACTCAAAATGAGGTATTGACAAAGATGTCGTTGTAAAGACTTTTTTTGGGTTGAACTCAAGTTTAAGTGCCTTAAAGCTCTTCACTCTCAATATCTGCCAAACAGTTATTGCTCTCTTTCTCGCAGCCTGTCGGCAATGGGGCTGCATGGCAAAAGAGTTCATTTAATCACATTTTTACTTATTTTTTAATGTACCATACTTTAATCAAAACAACCCAGAACGTCTCTCAACCTGAAATGTTCCCATGTACACAGGAAACCAGCTTTGTTTTCCAGTAAATTTCGACACCGTATCATGATCCCAGATCTGTTTGTTGCTCCACCCAGATTGGAGGCAGACACCTGTTTGTTTAGCCTGAGGCTACTTCTGAAATGAAAAGAGCAAAAACTGGGTCCAGCCATCAAAACACTGGATTATATACCCTTTCTCTATTTCTCTCCCCCCTTCTCTTTTTCATGCCTGTCAACGTGTAATAGCCCCTATTTGAAATAAGACTCCCAAGAACCCATCTATAGCCACTTATGTAATTTACTGCACTTTCTTAATCATCCCCTAAGGAGGCAGACATGAATTACAACCATCAGTATTAAAAAAAAACATCCTCAGTAGACCACCCATCCCATGTCTGACCCCCCGGCAACTTTGATCAGTGAATGATGTGGTGTTCCCCTCTAAGCTCTCTCTCCCAAACCCCCCGAATACTGTTTCATCCCTCTCTTTCTCATGCACACACGCGCACACACACACACACACACACAGACACACACACACCTGCACACACCCTTTTAGAAGAAGCATGGGGACATCATCCACAGGGCTATGGTGAACAGGCCAGCACACATGACAGAGAAACATAATCAATCCTGCCTCGAGTTGCCTGTGTGTGTGTGTGTGTGTGTGTGTGTGAGGGGAGGGAGTGTGGAACAGAAGTTGGAAAGCAGACAGTCTCAGATTAGCCGAGGTGCTACAGTGCAGATAAGAGCAGACCTCCGATGGACAGAAATCCATTCGTTTAACCCGGCAGCACAGAGAAAGACTCTGGTCCTTGTGGAGACACTCTGATAAAAGTTGCTGCCAAATGTGTGTGCGTGTATAGGTGTGTGTGTGTGTGTGTGTGTTTAGGGGGTTTTTTGGGGGGTTGCATTCACAACCATGTGAGTCAGAGATGGCCCGCTTGGCTCTGAGTGGAAGAGCTTGTTGAAACACTCCTATACCCAGAGGTAGATCACAGAAGATGTTTGGACACTTAATTGGCACAATTACGCTGATTGACTCATTTTGCTCGGAGTGAGCCACACACTTCGTTACAGAGCCAATTATAGCCACATTGCGTTTTGCCTCACAGGCTCTCCAGTCCTGCATTTAAAGGCAAGAGTGGCTTACATCTGAATACAGAGAAAAACAGCTGTTCTTGCCTGGCTGCTGTTCAAAAGGTTTGCTTTAATAACCATTTTCCACATACCTTAATCAGAAAATTTATGACCATCTTTAAAATGCCTGGCACTGTGAACCTACATATCATTTTTTTAATCATTTACATCTCACTATGTGTGCAAATGGTCAACATGCTTAAGACATAAGGCATAATAACACCTTCTATGTGTTTTTAAGTTACTCCTCAAGTGGGATTCTAGAAGAACTTTTGTTTGGTTAAACTAGTAGATGTATAAAAAGATGAAAGCTATACTTCCCTTATTTTGCAGAAATGGAAAGCAGAGAAATGCTGATTGGAAAGTGGTGGTGTGAGGCTTGTCTGAGTTGGGATTTGAGGTCAACAGCAGATCAGAGTCTGGCAATTTACTGCCTGAGAGAAGACTCTTTAATTGACTTAGATGATTTAGCATGCAAACTGCTGCCTGCTGCTGCGCTGCATGAATGCATGTATTGAAGAAGAGGGGTTGTTGGTTGTGGCCCAATATGTATAGTCTACTGTCTATTGTTGTTCTTGCATGGTCCACTCGTGCTACACTACATGGTCCACTCATGATACAAGAATGCGATGTTACTGTGTATGTGTGGCTTTAAAGGTTTGATTGACCATAATTAGAGGGAGCTCTTTCTTACCTACCTCTACTGGTATCTGGCCATGTAGATAATTTCAGTTTTATTTGCCAGGATTGAGATATATGTTTTTTGTTTCTGGATTCTATGTTCAGTGACACTGAACACAGGCTTTAAAGCCAAATTTGATATGAAAATACAAAATGGGGAAAAACACATCTGGAACCAACGTCCCTCTTGGTTTGCAGCTCTGTTAGTTGGAGACCAAAAACTCAGAAAGTGATGTCTCAAAAGCTGGCCGAATAAAAATAAGTGCAAGGCTATCTGCATGGCTAAAAACCAAGTTTGCAAACATGATTGTTTGTAATTTTGGTGAGCCGACCCTTAAAAACAAAATGAACAAACATATCAGAGGTATATGTTATTGCATGAAATTGGTTCCTACTCCAATTCTAAGATTACTATAATACTTTAGCACCACACAGTACATCTTCATGTGAGACACTTCCATTAACTTCTTCAATTTAACAAAGCAGCGCACTGGGATCGTAATATAGTCATACAGCGGTGGACAACTTGGCTGCAGTTTGCCTGACCTCAGATTTGCACCTGACATCATGGGGATTCAATTACTATCAACTTGGGGAACACTATTCACTCTGGCATTTCCATTATCTCATCTATGTAAGGGAAAAGCATTAGAAGTCATAGTGGACACTCATAAATTGTACTGTACACACACACACCTGCATATAAATAGCCAGGAAATGGCTGGCAAAGCTATTCAACCACCCACTGAACCGTCATGCACTTCACACCCTCACACTAATGCACCGGGGGGAAAGCTTGTAGGAACAGTAAATTGGAAGGAACAATAAATGAAATATAAATCAGGACTTCAAATTATGTGATGTTATTCTTATGAATGTCATGAAGTATTCAGAAAAGGTCAAAGACGTAGTTGAAAAGTAAAAAGGTTCTTGTTTAAGTGTATAATTGAGGAATGACTGCAAAGCAATGTCTGAGCTTAATACTGGACTGAAGAATAGATTATTTACTACTGTTTTATGATATGAACTGAATTCTTAATCGGACCATGCCGATTATCAGTAATGCAGTATTCACTCTTGAAATGGGTCTCACTAAGTCTCAGTTTAGACACGAGAGCTGTTGTCCTTTTCCTGAGGCTTTGTGCTCCATTTTTTGCAAAGGAACAATGTGACATTTCCCTTCTGCCCAGTTTCTCCCTGTTTTCACTGGGGTATTTTATAGCAGGCTATAAAGATGAAATGTGGGGGCTGTTAGGGCTCTTTCTTCAGCACCACTGTGGTGCCCTCTCGACTAAATCACCACTTGGAAAACGCCAGTGATGGGACGAGAAGTGAGTTTGTAATCCTCTACTTCTCTGCTTCTCAACATCTGATATGTGCTTAGAACCCTGTGTTAAAGTAAGGACATGCTGTGATTCCGGGCTTCGCATTATCCACCTGCGCCCTGGCCTCAGCTCCCATCTCATAAAACCACAATAGGCCTCGGGGTAAGACATGCAAAAACTGCCCTGGCTCTCCTTTTTTTACCCCTCCTTCTCTCGCTTTCATTCTGCTACCTCCCCCTTTTGTCAAAGAATTACCGTCTATTGTGGAGTTCTAGCCAGAAACGTCTGCAAAAATGTAAGCCCCAGATGAAAGACGAACAGAGCTAGGGTAGGGAGATGAGTTTGAAGGTTACAGGGGGTTATAGAAATATGGGAAACAGAATTTGAATTGCAAGCTGCACTTCATGTAAATGAAGGAGATTTGCAATCCAAATTGAGCAACAACGTCCAAGACATCTCACGGGCCAGCTTTCTGTGATCAAACAAATCAAACATTAGACATCTCTTTTTTTTTTTTGCAGTGGGATAACACTCTCCTCTGTGGACACGTATATGTCCACACAACATGTGTGCACACAGCAACGCACTAGCACGTGGGCGGACGCATGCTCAAATACTTGACCCTGTACAGACATGCCATAAATACCATGCCTCATCTTTTCACAATGAAGTGGCCACTCTGGTCCCCTCAGCACTGCTGATGGGTCACTCTTTACAAGGAGGTTGTCAGAGAGAGAGACTGAGAGTAGTTGTAGCTAAGTGAAAGAAATCTCTCTGTCAGGAAGAAACAAAGCTGTGAGCTGTCAGTGAGTTGGAAAAGCTGCTAACGGCATCGGTGGCCAAGAAAACAGCTAAATCAAAACAATGAAGATGTCCATTCTGAATCGCTTGTTGGACATAATAAACTCCTAATGTGCAGGGAAAGCCTTCCTCAATCCTCTGCATGTATCATAAATCTTCTGAATTCCCATCCAGTTCAAGTAAAAACAAATCTGTCCAGTGCCACTTCAAAGCATTGCTGTGTTATGAGTTTACAACCATGACTTAGAGAAATGTTTCAGAGGCTTCGGGCCAAGGAGGAGGGGGTGTTTGGTTTCTTATGGCTTGGCGATCTGGGCCAAGCCACTGTTCTGGACGTCTCGGTGAATTTGAACTGACTCACGAAAGAGTGTGGCTCCTTGCACATATACAAGTTTGACAGTCGTGCATACAACACTGACAGTCGTACATGGAGTGTGACTGACGGATGGAAAGGGTTTTCTAGACACCCAAAGCCACCGTGTCCCTTCACATTCCAGGGATGAGCGATGGAGATTTGCTTACACAAACTCTTTAAGCATGTTTGCGCGGTGACAGAGCTAAATGTTCTGTTTGGGTACCACCAATAAAATATTCAGGCGCAAATGTCTGAGCAGGTCCCCTGTGCTCAAACCCTTTGCAACACTTCAGTGACCTGGTTCTGAATTATTAAGAGAGTCAAAGCCTTTGTCTACGAAGTTCCAAGCTCTGTCAAACATCAGTCTGTCTTAAAAGGATTCATTTTAAAAGGTGGTACTCAAAGAATTTTGATAACTTTTCAATAACTTCAATTATAATTATCATAAACAAACAAGACAACTGCTTGAAATGTTTAGCAGCCTACACTGTGAGCCAGTGTTTAGGCATTTTGTGATGAATCTGCTGGATTTCCATCACAAAAGGAGATTGCACAAGTTGTTATCTTTCCAGTGCAGAAAGAGCTAAAGCTTGATTAAAATGCTGGGTGGCAAAATGAGTGACAGAAACGCTTACAGAATAATGTGTTGCTACACTTTTACCCATATCTTTATCTTTAGCCCCTGTAAACCAAATGGACCTGAAGAAGGTATGGTCTTTATTTCAGAAAACACATCAGAACAACCTTTCTGTTATAGGGGCTAACAGTACGGCCTCATTTAATTACAGGAATCCTACCAACACACTAATCAATTAATAATAAATAGGTCTACATCAGATGTTTAAAATTCTACATGTAACTCTGTGAGATGAATATGACCTCTGAGCAGAAGTAATCTGATGCTGCGTTTTAAATATTATCAGTGACATTTCCAAAAGGTTGTCATACGGCAATGTTTTTCAGTTGTTTTCCATCACACCCCCAACTGATGAGTTTCATATGCTCCGCTGTATGTTGTGTCTACAAAACTGCAGTTTACCAGTGTATTACAAAGCATTTAAACAGAAACAGTCATAATTCTCTATTGGAAAGACAGAGTGGAGAGAGTAGAGTGGTGGTGAGTGGTTTTATTCACAGGCTTTCTGTACAATGAAGCACCCAAGTTTTGGAGCAGTGGTTAACAGCCTAGGGTTCAGTGCATCTTAAAGGAGAAGTTCAACATTCTGCGTACAAAAAACAAAGTGTAAAAACGACAAATTGAGTTTTACGAGTGGTTATGTAATCTGTTATTTCTTGTTGCCCGGCAATCAGTTGAAACTACAGAAATTTTTCTGGTCCGGAACAGTTCAGTTTTTGTACAAAGTAAACAAACAATAAATGTGTTAATTTGTGTGGATTTTGTTACCTTTGGACAAAGCCAGGGTAGCCTCTCATCTAACTCTAATTAATGAGGATTATGGGATATGAAAAAAGAAAAAACATATTTCAGCAACACAAATCTATGTTTTTCATAATCTTTACAGACTCTTATATGTGATTCATATCTTGTGCTGAAAAGTCTAACTTCTTAAGACCAGGGTTCGAGTTATGTGGGAACCAGTGGGAGCTGAGCTCCGAAGAAAGCCGTAAAATCTGTGGGGGTCTTCAATACATTACCAACAACCATTATTTTAATCCCAAATAATAAATGTTTTCAATGTAATGAGTATTATTTCTCTCTGTATTGAATGCTTGCTTTCTATTGGATTTATGACTCGCAAAAACAGATGCATCCTCCCACTACATAGAGTACATAGTGTAGGAGCACGGTGGCTGTGGGACTCTGCAACCGCGGCCAGCAGTGTGTAACATAATATAAATATGAAGAACACCTACTTTCCTATACCAGTGGAATTGCAGAATTGCATTCTACTTTTGAGTGATAGGTCTCAGTTTGACATATTTCAGGCTATAAGAACTTTGCTGCAATATTTCAGCGTAGTTTCAGGTTGTTGGAATCGAGTTGATACAATTGTTGCAATTAATGAGCTGCTGTTGCTTGTGTGTGTGTGTGTGTGTGTGTGTGTGTGTGTGAAAGTGTTGGACTATGTAATGAGCAGTAAAGTCTCTCGTTGCTTATTTTAAAGACCCCACAAAGCTCAGGTTATAACTCAAACTCTGCTTGAGACCTCAAACAAGCTGGCACCGCTCTACATTAAGGGGTCACAAACAAAAAGGATTGGGAATCTCTGCTTTAGAGGTTAATTATTTGAATCCTATTTTTATTTACCTATGCGCTGACGAGGTAGAAACACATCTTATGTCATGGGACCTATTTAGGTGATTTAATATGGCCATAAAAAGTCTAACTGCCCTTGATGACTTCAACCTATCATATATAGACAATGTATTCATCCCGTCCCCAAACTCTGTGTTCCATTATTCAATCACATACTGCTATAATATGTTGGGTCGCAACAAGATTATTTTAAACTAAAACTCAGGAAACAATTGGCTCTTTAACTTCTTACATTATGATTTTTCATATTTTTTTATAAGGGTTTCCCTGGGTTACACGATCAGTACATTTCCAGATAAAGAAAAGGGACTCACCTGCAGTAGTTGTGTCTGCCCAAACCACCCTCTCCATTGGGGTATTTGAGCGTGTTGTAAGGGTGCTGGAAGGTCTCATTCCAGAAGAGGCAGGGTTTACCACCATGCAGGCTGGTCTGGTTCTGGAAGCCCCTGTAGTCCTCTCCATTGGCAGTGTAACACTCTGAAAAGAGAGAAATGAGATGGAGAAAGTGAGAAAATGTACTGGTGTCTGCAATAAGGGATTAGACGACTATTAAGATGGAAATCAAAAGCTTGGCAGGAGCTTTTAAACAGGCATGTAAAATGCAGCCGCATATTTGACCTGCTTTACTGAGAATCTGGATTCAGTGAAATACTCGTGTGCTATTAAAATGTTTTAATGTGTTTGGAATGATATTAGACGATAGGTTTACAATAATTGTATCCCTTACCCAGGCTCAATTCATTTCAGCTCGGGCCAAACGTGTTAAAGCAAGATCAATCACGGTATTGTTTCAATTAATGTCATCACAGGACCGTAGAGAAAAAAATGCCCTACTGATACACAACAAAAGCAAACATGGCTTGAATTTCCAGGAAGTGTATGACAACCATATGGCCAAGTCAGAGAGAGGGAGTGAGAAAGAGAGAGAGCTGAGTTCCCAAGGCAAAACAATGGCTGGTTGAAGGGTTTTCTTCCCTGTAAGAGGGAATTCAAATAAACAATGGCTGATGGGAGCGTGATGAGCCATCACCGCTCATCGTTCTCAGCCTCGGGGGGGCTCCCATCAAGAGAGTTTCAACTACAACTGAATTCCTTTTTTGATTGCATTACAATGGAAAATATTGATTTATTATGTGAGTGTTATGATTACACATACTGCAGGTGCCCTTTATTGCTACAACTGTTGACAGAGCAGGATACCGCTTCAGTGTAACCAGCGGGGATAAAAACAGGCTCTTCGCTGTCTAGATATGACATTAACTTGCAAAGAGTAGATGCAAATGATGCCAGAAGGGCAACAGTCTGAATTTCTGACATACAGTAAATGCATTTTCCATTCTTAAAACGTGCACAAATAACACTTTCTGGTGTTGACTTATCTGCTTTTCAAAATGTCAAGCGAGAGCACATGGAAGTATTACAGCAATTTCACATCATGCCTGTCAATCAAACATTAATAAGAAAAAAACAATACTCGCTTGTTTGGCTCGTCTCCATGGGGTCTTGTTGCTATTTACGCGGTTAGCCAATGACCGGCCCCTTTCATCAAGTCAAGCTGTCTGGGCTGAGTATGAGCTAATGCATTGCAATATGACAGTCATTATACCCCTCGGTGAGCCAGCTGTGCTCTAAGGCTCTTTCTCATTCTCTCTTTAAGGGTCCAAGGTTTCCCAACTTCCTCTCTCTCCCTTTCTCGTATCTGATCATCTGTTCTCTCCTCTCACCATTCTCAACTCTTTTCTGTTATCCCCTTTTAACTTATAAAGACAAACATTTCTTTGGGGACAACTTCTGTAGTCTGTTGCCAGCCGTCTCACAGGTCTAGAGGAGCCAGGTAGCATCAATAATGACCTCAAAAAGTTTATTGTTTATTTGTTGGAGATCAATAAACTCCCAAATCAAACATCTGTCTGCCAATTACATTAAAAGATGCTTAGAAAGTGAATGAATGTAGAATCGTAGAGCCTAAACAAGAAATAAACATTGTGAAACTTTTATGGGTTTAGTAATTAGCTTCCCATACTTTCTAGCATGCTTTCCAATATTTACGGCAGTTAGCTTGCACGCAAACATGCATTCCAGCATCTTGCATCCACCACAAAAGTACTGCTATCACTCAGTTTTAGAGTAAATCAGAGGCCCCAGCGGCTCTCAGTGTGTCAGCCAAAGTTGCTTTTAATTAAAGTTGTTTCGGTTGTGTTGCTCAGTCAAGCTTATCAGCCGTCCATCGTCTGGCTGACAGGAGTTCAACAGCAGCAAGGAGTTGCAGGGTGTCAGGTTCCTGCAATTATGATGCCACTCTATTGTCTATAAATCGCTCCCCTCTCTCTTAGCAAATTAATACTGCCTCGGCATGCAAGGATATCAACCACTGGATCGTAAATCCACTTGAGAGTGACTGAGGCAGAACACGACTCCATAAAATTAGAAAAACAGCTTAATGGTGTTACAACAGGGGTCATGCTCCTGCTACCCTTACACGAGTGATGAGAAGGGTGGAGGAAACAAGTTATCGTCAGGTTGACAGCCAGAGGACAGGCAAGGTGCGTTAAATAATGCACATTTGGAAGGTCTCAATTGTTTCATGTGCAAAAGATGCAGGTAATCACCATGGAGCAGCGTTTAACCTGCAGAAGACTTTGGAGGTAAGAGGGTGTTCTGACACCAACACCAGTGTCAGCTGCCCATCAATGATGCTATTTGTATATGCATTGTATAATATGTACTGTATGGTATAGACTCTGGGAAGACAGCATTTAGATGAGGAATTTTCATTGAATTGGATGCCAGCAGCCTCTGCAACAGAAAGGAAGAGAAGGAAACACTGCTATTGAGAGTTTGGCAGCCGCACAAGCACAATCATGAGTCACTGCTCCCCAAAAGCAATCACGACTGTTACTGCCCCAGTCAGAGAGGATAACATCAGGCAGGGACAGGGCAGCCGACTGCATCCCAAATGAGCTCACGTCCTTCAAATATCTTCTCCTCGAAAAGAGCGGGTATTAAAATGACTGAAGTTGGCTGCGTGCAGCGCTGCTCAACGCACTGTATCAAAAAGAAAGAGCCAAATGACTTTGTAAATGTCTCCACTCCTCCTTCAGGAAACTTTACTCTGGAGTTTCAGGATGAAGGAGAGCTTGTCTGCACATGGTCCGCTTGGAACGAGCTGCTGCTGGCAATCATTCCGCCCTGCTGCGGCCAAGTTAGCTTTCCAGGACGAGATGGTAAATATGGCAGCGTTTTGCCACCGGGAGGGAGATGGGGGGGTGTTCCATGTGGTTTCAAGGCACCATTTGCTTGTGGTGAGAATGGGAAGTAGCAGATCTGCAAGGACTCAGAGATAAGTGAGGCCATCGTAAAGATGAATGGTCCATTTAAGAGCCCTGCGGACGGCCACACATCTATCAAGCTAAAGAGAAAAGGCCAATTTTACGTTGCAGTGGTGTGAATATTAGCATTTTATCCTTGTCCTGAAGGAAATGAAGAGCTCATCTGCTGATTGGACAGTCACCACTTCAGGCTCACTCCCCTCCGAACACGCCCAGCCCCCACCTCACACCCCTTTCCTTGTCACCAAGCAACTGTTGCGCTCTCGTCACATGGGCCTGAGCTTTCTTGTGGTTTCATCATAGGCCGTGATGGGAAACAGAACCACCACCGCATGAAAGACGGAGGGAAGAGGGGGGAAAAAAGCCTCCTATAAAATACATGCAGATCTACAAATAGAAAAAGTCCGGGAAAGGGAAGAGGAAGACTCGCCCTTGACCAAGCCCTGCACTCACAGAATACTGCACCACCCCGGCAACAAGAGAGGAAAAAAAAGAGAAAAACAGCAGAGGATCGTTGAGAGAGAGTTAATCGCCCTGTTATTATATTTGTTGGGATTTGTGGCTAATGACTTCCACATTGCAACTTCAAATGCACTTGATGCTCTGAGAAAAGAGGGGGGAGACGAAAAAAAAAAAAAAAAAGAGTATGGGACTTTGGTCATGTGATCTCAAGAACACAAACAAACAAGCTTACAAACAAATGGTTTCTCTGAAATGCGTTGCCAGGTCACACAAGAGCACTTATTTGTTGTGTTTGCTATGAGGGAAGAAAAACAGTGATAATTACAGACGACTGCTTCCTCACAGAGGGCTGACATAAAGAGCTTCCTTCCATCTTTATTATATGCTTCCAGCTCTGGGGACAGCAAAAGAGTGAGCAATATTTCCACTATAATAAAATTATACAGAATGAGTCTATGATTTTTCTGTACAGTATTATACAGGGGAAAAAATTAATTTGTACAGGCACTAACACCACCATCAACTGAAGTACATAGAAGGTTTCAGCATCCAAAGTCCACAAACAAAGATGACAGAAATGGCAGATTATTAATACACAATCTGCCACAATATGTTTCCCCTCCACTTTGTCCTGGTAGCTATTACTGTTGCGGGTCTCATTAATGTCAGTGTAGTAAGAACAGAGGCCAGGGACAGGCCAAACCAGGCCAGATGTAGTGGGTTACAGATTTCTTTTCTGGGGGGGGACACAGCTGGCTGCAACACAAGTCTGGTTCCCCTTTTCCCCAACAGCATCTATTTCCACATCAAAACCACATCAGACTTCAGAGGATTGCAGGAAGCCTGCTTCACATTTATGATCCAGGTTTCACATATAGCCACAGATTCAGTGAGGCTCTTTTAATGAAGTAGGATGTTGCTCAGGAGAAGTCAGTGATTTCTCGGAGGGGGGAGAAGCCGGCAGTTAATGGACCTCACCTCGCCTCCCTGCTTCTCTGATCTCTCCTGTAAGAGGTTTTTTGAAAGTGCCCTCATGTGAGAGGGTCAATGAAAGTGCAAAGTAAAAGCCTCCCCAAGTGACGACAACAGATGCCTAACTAGTTAAATCTGCAGACAACGACTTCTCAATGGCGTTTTACAAGTCCTTCTTTTCATTTCATACTTTTGTCATAGGTTGTAGCCCCAGATAACCAGGCCATAAACCAAGACCTCATTCCGTCCCAAAATAGCCTCCATTACCACCATTCTTCCTGCAAAAACCCTCCACGGCACCACCTCCCGAGTTCACTACCACAGTAGCCACAGACCCACAGGACTCCCTGCCAAAGTTGCTGGGTAGCACCTATAAAACATGGCCCCATCTCGTTCTAGTGCGGCCCCTATTATTTAGCTCCGTAATGGAAAGAGTCTAATCTGCTGGAGCCAGTGGTGGGCTAAACGCGCTGCCAAAAACCCCTGTTTGAAGTTGCTTGTCGCAAAAATGGAAAGCATAAAAGGTTTTTTTTTTGGGGGGTTTTTTTACCACAAGCTGCTCTCTGGCCCTTAATTTAAGTGTTATGTCTCAAGTGATTTTGAAAAATCAATCAGCAAACATACCGGAGCAGATAAAACATCCACCTATGCAGGATTTCCCATATTGGCCCGGATGATATCGGACAAAACACAGCACAGACGGACCAAGGGCAG